GTTTGAAACTACTTGAACTATCAGAAAACCTCTATAAACATTTAAGAGATCAAGGCAAGGTTGCATCTCAAGTGATTTTCTGAGTTATACACAACATACATAATAAATAAATATTGCTCAATGTGATGGAACTCATAGCACCAGCTCAGTAAAGTGAATTATGCAAGCTCTGCTAACTGGAAGATGTTATCAAATGGTTTAATTCAAGTAAAAGTTCTCAACACAAATATATCTGTACCTGTATTGATGTATATTGGTAAAATACTGTGGGTATAGTTTGCTGACCGTGTAATTGCAATCAGTGAAATTATTGAGCTTCCTCAATAGAACGAGGAGAGCACAACAGTAGGTGTGAGTTATATAGAGAGAGATCCACCATGGTTCTGGCCTTAAAGGCTCAAAATTCAGTTGGAGAGAGATAATGGGTTTATAAAGATAAAATACTGTTGGTAGTAACATGATGTCTGTTGACATTTTGAAAAAGAGGTTTTCTGTATATTCTGCGAAGTAGCTTCTCTCAGAAGTAGTGGTTATTGAATAAAAAAAAAATCAACATTATCTTGAACCCACTGGGTAAGGCTGGAGTGAAGGCAAGATGGTATTTCTTTCCTTGGAGTTCTTGGCACTCAAGCATCTGAGTGGGTAGCTTTTGCCCTGGTAGGTGTAGATAAGCATATGTCTTTGGTCTGGAGGAAAGTGGCCTGTTACACTTGAGTCAGCTTGTTCACAGACTGAGGTGATTATTCCCAAGTCTCACCCAAGCAAATTGATGACTCCAGGGTGAGCAGAATCAATGCACTGGCATTTGCCAAATACAGATTCAGGTGAAAATGGAATAAATTAGTTCCTCTCAGTCAATTATTGCTTCAAGTAGGCAAGCTGAGGAAGAAGGGGTGCTGAGGTGCACACTGAATTTGAACTACGTTCTGTTTTCAGCTGAAGATATAAACAGACAGTGACTATAAAACCTTAGCTTGATGGGAAAAGGAGTTCTGTGAGCAACTCAATTTCTCCTTCTGAATTGTACCTCGAAGAGCACTGACTCTTATTTGCATAGGCTGTTCAGAATATGTCTGGAATTTCCGTTGTGAGGTTACAGACTGCCACCATGTAATAACAACATTATTGGAAGCTAATACCATAATTAATTTCTTACTACTATACTCAGCTGATATTGACAATGAGATGTACAGTTACGCAGCATAACTTGGCAGATTCTTCACAGCAAAAGAATTCATAATCAGATCTGATGGCCTGTCCAATGGAGAGAACAGGTTATCTAGGAAGAGACTATCATTTCAAGGATAGACATAGTATGGTTAGTGCTCTCAAGACATGCTTAGCCAAAGAGAGAGCTACTCTTTTGGTATTAGTAGTTGAACTTGATTCCAGTATAGTTGTTTATAAAATAAATAGTGAGGCATGCTACAAAGTACTATTGCTGTGCATCACCAGCAAACTCTGAATAAAAGAAATGCCAACCTGAAGATGCAATCTCTTATTGGTGGGGAAATAATATACTCTTTATGATTTTCTTATGATGTTTCATTGACATACGGTGCTTCTAACTAAGTGATAAATTAATCTACTAGATTTAAGGAGAAATGGATGTGGCTTAATGAAGAAGGACAGGATATGTATTATAAGGCAGCTGGTTCTGCCACTGCTGGCTTATGGAGAAAATATACATTGGACAGCTAATGAGTCTCTGTTGCATAAGATAGATTCTCTTTATAATAGAATTGCACGCTTTGTCTCTAAATGGGGTTATTATACACACCATTGCACAATGTTTGAAGAGCTTGGTTGGCCCTTGTAGAGGGTTACGAGAGAAATAAATTGGAAGACAATTGTGCTTAAGACCTTCAATCCATCAAGCATTTCATATTTATCCAAATTACTAGCATGTTCTCCCAAAATATGAATCTGTATGATACACAAGGCTAGAATGTTAATGCTGACCAGACTTTGCTTTATCAGACAGGTTTTCCACTGTAAGCATTGACCAAAATTCACACGTGGTGAAGCTGGGCAATACGCATTCCAACCACTGCCCCCATTCCCTTTGCCTCTGCTCTTCATGTATTCCACTATCTTAGTCTCTGAAGTTTCATTTGTTATTTCTTCTATCCACCATGAACACAAAGGGCTCACTTGCCCTGAGTTATTTAATTCTCAGAACTTTTTGACTTGACTACCCAGACAGTTTTAGTGGTAATTCAGTTTCTTCACTTTTCTCCATACTTGTGGGCCCTCACTGTTCAGTTGCTCAGCTATTCTTTAGAATAAATCCATTTCAATTAAGGTTACAGCCTAGAAAGAAATACTAGGCTGGGTGTGGTGGCTCATACCTGTAATCACAGCACTTTGGGAGGCTGAGGTGAGTGGATAAAATGAGCCCAGGAGTTGGAGATGAGCCTGGGCAACATAACAAGACCCCGCCTCTACATAAAGTACAAAAATTAGCCAAGCATGGTGGTGCATGCCTGTAGTCCCAGTTACTAGGGAGGCTGAGGTGAGAGGATTGCTTGAGTCCAGGAGGTCGAGGCTGCAGTGAGCTGTGATTGCACCACTGTACTCCAGCCTGGGTGACAGAGTGAGACCCTGTCTCAAAAAAAAAGAACAAAAAGTAAAGAAAAAAAATACTGGAAGTGATGAAGAAGACCGGATAAATGACAATATCATTCACTCTGTGTCAGAAGACTGTGCTTTCTATTAGAGGACATGGCAGGGCTTATTTAGATGTTGTAGACGGGGAGATGGAGGAGGTGAGTCATGCTCTTACCATCATTACTTTCTAATGTGGCTTTGGACCTGATTCTACCTTCTGGCTTGATTCTTCTATCCATGATATCATGTAGTTGGAATTTTGTAGCTCAATTTTGCCCAAATATTTTCAGGGTGATACCATGTCCTTGAGCCCCAGGGGAAGTTTTGCACAGGAAAGGTGATTCTTGGGGTGTACCATCACTAGCTTTTTGACTTGCCAATGGACTTTGGAGGCACCATTAATTCCTGCTGATGCTGAGATCCTCACCTATGTGGTGAGGTGACAATATTTTGTTTCTTTCAAACTTTCTTTTCTGTGTTTCTCTCCTCTCAACCTACCAAGAATAATTGAAGAGAATTACACCTGTGAAACATTTCAAGATGCTTGGAGTAAGATGATCTTTTCAGTTTAAGACGTTATTATATCCCAAACCAGACTGCTTTCTCTCTGTCATTGTGAGGTTCTTTCCTTTGCAAGTCTATCCGTACTCTGGTATAGAGAAAGGTGAGCTGAAAGAAATGGACAAAACTGTTTCATGGGCTTCTCCACATATGTATTACCCTCTCCAAATTGAATCTTGAAGCTTTGTCAGAAGTGTTATTTTCCCAACAGAGCAGGTGTTAAGTGTCTATAGAAAATAAACTCACCTCCTGATATCTTTCTCATTGCCTGCTACATCCATTTACTGTGAAGATTATATTGTAAGGTGCGACAAGAGGTGTTGTACAGCAAGGGAAAAATCATCACTTTGTAATTCGATTTGTTCAAGTTCTCTTCTTTTGCACGGGCTTTTGGATTTCCTTGTCATTTGTGGAATTATTTCTTAAATGGTGAGTATCGTTTTCATATGTTTTTCCCGGAGCTTATTCCATCCAAATACTTTTTAAGTTGCATACACTCTTCTATAAGTAGAGCTATATTTTTGTAATGAAGTTTCAATAATTTGGCCAGGGAAAAGGAAAAACCAAAACAAATGCTAACAATAATTAGTTAATGATTTTTCTTTCACCTAATTTTTTATGACTTTTATATTCTCTGCTAAAAACAGATTATTTGATAACAATACTAGGAATACTTAGCTATAGGTAAAAATTAATATCCATTTGACTGAATGTTTCATTTAATGAGTGGGCTTGTGCTTACCACAATTATCTTAAGGAAATAAATGTGTACAGAGACTAATGAGTAGACACACTAGACTTTATCAATGTTTATTCAAATTATTGCAGTTTAGTGATATGGAAATCTAGAATTGAGATGCTTTAGAAATAAATCTTTGCTTGTATGTAATTTCTTTAGTTCAAGGATCTGAAAACACTTTACAAGCAATTAAACTCTAGGATTCAAATGGGGATTTCACATTGTTTATTGTTTAAATAAAGTTACAGAATTATCATTTGCTTAGGGTTTCTAGAAAATCCTTTCTTTTAGATCTACCAATATGCATACCTGAGTTTCCCTGGATATTTACCTCTTCGCTCAAACCATTTTCAGATTTCTTTTCTTCTCATGCCATCATATTTCTTTTCTTTTCTTTTTTATAGATGGGGCCTGGAGTGCAGTGGTGCATAGCTCATTGCTCCCTCGATTTCCTGGGCTCAAATGATCTTCTCACCTCAGCCTCCTAAGTAGCCGGGACTATAGGCATGCACCAAAATGTCCGGCTAATTTTTGTATTTTTCTTTTATTTCTTTCTTTGTTTTTTTTTTTTTTTTTTTTTTTTAAATAGAGCCGTGGTCTCACTATGTTGCCCATGTTGGTCTTGAACTCCTGGCCTCAAGTGACCCTGCTGCCTCGGCCTCCCAAAGTGCTGGAATCACAGGCATGAGTCACTGCACCAGGCTATTATATTTCTTGAAAAATTCTCTTTTTTACTTCCTTCCTCCAACCAACTCCTCCAACCAGAGTCAGTCACTGCCTCCTTTTCCTGGCAAGATCTTCTATCCTTGCCCTTGTCTCCCAGTCCTTGTGATCTTATGTTCAGGTAGAGAGGAACTTTCTCTTACTCATTGTCTTATTACTTGTATCCAAAGGTTGGGCACATTCCCAGCCCTTCTTACATAAGGATTGTTTCAATGCATGACTGAATGAATCTGTGAGTGAATGTGATCACTGTGCAGCTGTGAAGTAGCTTGGGCCACTCCCACATTGTGCTGGCCGTGCAGTGAAAGGCATTTTCCCTGTTTTGACGGGGCCGTTTATCTCTGCTCCTGGTTCTGCTCTCTACTAGGAAAAGGAGAAACTCTACATGGAACTAAAGTACGTCTTGGCCCGCCAGCCTGGACCTGAGGCTGCGGAACAGCTGAAGCTCTACCGACGCACGCTGCATGACAAGAAGCAGCAGCTCAAAGTGAGTGGTAGCCCCTGTTCCTTCCTGGCCCCAGGGCAGCCACACTGGGGAGCACACCTGGACAATCCACTGCCTCCACACAATGAACCAGTCTCTCAATGCCACGATCCTCTGAGGTCAGCTTTCTTAGAGCTCTAGTCTAGGATGAGCCAGCTGACCTCAGAGCTACCCCTCTCTTCCTGGACTATTAGCACCATTCTCCATTTCCAGAAAGAGGCAGGTAAGCAGGAGACGAAAAGATGATGACTACGAAATGGAAATGTAGGGGACAGGGTTTGTATGGATGATCTCAAGATGACTTGTTAGAGTACTTGAAGGGCAGGGATGAGCAAAGGAAATATTTTAACACTATTGCCCAACTGAAGCAGACTGCCGTGCCACGGTGGGTCTCTGGTATTCCATCCCGTCTGAAATAAACATACATAGAAGTCCAGCGACTGCCCGGCCCTGAGGGCCTTGCTTCCTGACCAGCTCTCAAATATGTAACCATGAAAGGGAAATAAAATCAGGCAAGATTTTTTGACAATGTGATTCCCTTCTAAGTCACGTAAGACCCTCAGTTGCAGAGATATGGAGTGTTTTACTTTTATATGTGCCTTTGTAAAGTTTTCTCAAAAATTGTGCATGTTCACACTGTATTTTGAGCTTCACCTCCTAAGTGAGTACTTAGATATTCTTGGTGTGTCGGGGAAGTTTTACACGCAGCCACAGGATGAAGCATGTGCCAGTTGAATTCTGGCACTTCCTGCCCAATGAGGGTAATAATCGTTGACTTTCTGCCTGGGGTAAAATATATGCCACCCTACTAGTATAGCCCTAACCCCTTCAAAAACAGGACATTGTAAAACTGCATCCTTTTATTTTAAAAGGGCAAATGAAACAAGTCTAATTAGAGCATTAATTTTCAATTTGTCACTCTGAATGTTCATTTCACATGAATATCCTGAGACATAATTTAAGTTTTGCATAAGACATAATCTTTTGATTATTTTGTTCCTTTAAAAAATTGAATATTTTAAAGAAAACAAATTATTTTCCGGTTTTCTCAGAGGTAGATATAGATTAGAAAAGCACAGAGCTATCTTATTCACTCAGAGCTCCGGGTTGCCTTCAAAAGCTCACAGGAGCCTTTTGTGAATTTAACCCTTTATCTCAGGAAATCCAGATTTTTCGCTCAAATGAAATGTGACCCCTCGTGAAGAGGTTTAGAGGTGGGTGGTACTGAGCATGGCTGCCAGTTTGTCCTTGATACTTACCTACTCTTTTAGGAAATTCCACATTCATTGTTCAGAAGCAGGGTTTTTGTTTCTAAGAGTTTAACTATTGAGACAGGCTTTTTTTTTTTTCCCCAGCATGAAAATTACATTCTTTAGCCCATGATAACATAGTCAGAATCATTTTCACAGCAGTGAAGAAGAAAGAGCTCAGAAGCAGATGAACACCAAGAAGGCTAAGATCTCCCTTTTATGCAAATCTTTAAAATAGCAAACAAGAAGAAAAATAAATCCAGCCTATTGCATGCCTGTTAGAACTATAGCCTTCCTTTTCTCTTTTTGGTTTTGGTGGGGAGCACACCCCAGCTTTGGCACGTGCTGTGTGCTATGCAGATGAGTGAATCCCCACTCCTCTTGTCCAGCCCAAGACCCGCAGCAGCTACTGAACACAGCAACGGAAGGAAGCAGGTAGTCAGGCTTTGAAGGGTCCCGAAGAACACAGTAAAGAGGGGATAGGCATTCAGCAGCATCACAACCCTGAAAACACATACATTGAATGCTTAGTTAGCAGTGATGGCAGGATGATTTCAGAATAATTTTTTTCATAATCCTCAGATGAATCACACTCTCTAGTGATGTTTTTCTTGAATATTTTCTCTTTTTTTTAAGGTTTTAAAAGCAATTTTAGATTCTGTGTCTGGGAGTTTATCTGTCTCTATTCATGATATTCCTTGAAGCACATTAGACTATTCATCTGTGAGCCTGTTCGAATGTTGTCTAATAGTTCTTCTTTTAAGTGGGGGAATGATATTTTATTTAAAGTTGCAACCAGATGATGCATCTTCAGCCCTCAGCCAGGTTTCTACTCAGACGTGGACCCTGAGCAGGTGGAAGCATGCAGATTAATTGTGATGCTTGGGCATTGTTTCGCACCTCTAGCTCCACTGCGGTAAATGGTAGCAGATTAAAAGATTTCTCAGAAAAGGATATTGTATCTTTTGTTAACGCCACTTTATTTGTCATGTTAGGTTTTGTCTTCAGAACTGAATATGTATGAAGTACAGAGCCAAGAATATAAATATGAGGTAGAGAAACTTACCAATGAGCTCCAGAATTTAAAGAAGAAATACCTCGCTCAGAAACGTAAAGAACAACTTCAAAAGTAAGAATTAGTCAAACGTCCTATTTGTGCCTATTATCTGCACATAAGAAAATATTTGGTGAACAGTCACAGACTTGCAAGTTTCACTGGGGTAAACTAAGTCGCAGGGCAAACAAATGACGTTCTACCGGTCACTAACTAAGTTTGTATCAGAGCAAGATCAGTGACTCATCTGATACTGAGTCCTCTCCTTGGGATTCTAACAGGGATTCATTAATATCAGTTCATTGGTGGATCTACCATGGAGCAGAGAAAATGTAATACGACTTTTCCCCCCACACTAGTCTATGGTTTGGAGATAATAATGTCATAACTATGTTTGCAAATGAGGTTCAAAATCAGCCTTGAACAGCATATTCACATTTAAAACCACATGTGCTTTTGCTAAGGGACCGGAGCTTCATAAAGCTGTTCTTTCTAATGATGCCCCTGTACCACTATAACTGCTAGTAGTTCACCTATGTTTTTATTTTTTTTTTGATTTTTTTTTTTTTTTTTTTTTTTTTTTTAGTGATAGGGTCTTGCTATGTTGCCCAGGCTGGTCTTGACCTCCTGGCCTCAAACAATCTTCCTGCCTTAGCCTCCCAAAATGTTGAGATTACAGGGTGAGCCATGCCTGCCTAGGTTTTTAGATAGTTATTATCTCTGAACCATCTTCTGTGTCTAGTGACTGACTTCAGCATCTGCTGTGGGGGGTTGATGTGACCTCTTCCTCTAGGAGATGATAATGTAGAGGTGAGGTGAACATTTTGGGTTTCAGGATGCTCCCATGTTGAAAAACAAAAGTTCTCTTCACATTGTTAGTATATCTGCCTGATCCCAGGGTGAGAATAGGGGCCCAAATGAATTGGGTTTGAAATGAACTAGTTTTGAAACTTGGTTTGGCTGTGTGACATTGCCAAAATCATCCAGTTAATTTGGCAGTGACACGTTATGGGCTGAAAGTCATGCTTGGTATTTATCCACATGGACATTTCAGGGACATGGTGAAATATGGCTTGAGTGCATTTGCCTAAGATTCGTTAGTAGCAAAGTTATATAAAGTAACTGGATGCAAATTCATTTGCCAGTAAAAGTCTGCCCTTCTTGTAAATCAGAATACTCCCCTGTTCCACATTTAGGTGCCAGTTCCATAGTAGAGGAAAATACTGCTATAATTTAAATAAGTCCATCTTAATGTGTAGGTCTACCAACTATCTGTCTGACTCAGAATCCCTAGTGAGATTTATTAAACATGCAGGTTCCCAGGCCATATTTCCAGATACTTGGATTCAGCAGACTCTGGAAACCTGCAATTTAATAGGCTCCCCAGGTGATTTTCATGCACAGTGAAGCTTCAGAACCACTAATATTAACAATGTAAATTAAATGAATGCTGGAGTGGAAACACTGTATTTTTCTTTTAGGATGTCAAGATTGTGCTCATAAAATGTCAACACGGTTAATTTCCACATGAGGCAGGTGTCTAACTCAGTGGTCTTCAAGCTCTTTGATTGTACACCCTTATCAGTAAAACTTTTTTTGAGACAGAATCTTACTGTGTCACCCAGGCTGGAGTGCAGTAGCACCATCTTGGCTCACTCTGACTCCGGAGTTCAAGTCATTCTCATGTCTCAGCCTTCCAAGTAACTGGGATGACAAGTGTGCGCCAACATGCCCGGCTAATTTTTTTTTCTGTTTTTAGTAGAGACAGGGTTTTGTCATGTTGGCCAGGCTGGTCTTGGACTCCTGGTCCCAAGTGATCTGCTGGCCATGGCCTCCCAAAGTACTGGGATTAGAGGCATGAGCCACTGAGCCCTCCCAGTAAAACATTTTTGAACTTGCAGTATGTATATGCATATATCTTTAAAATAATTTTTAAATTTCAGAATAGTTTTAGATTTACCTGCAATGTATTTTAATTTATAAATTATATGCAGATACCACTGTCAGTTTGTAACTCTTAGTAAAGCATAATTTAAAAATTTTAAATATAAAAGTATTAATAGATTTATTTATTAATAAATAACAATAAAAAGAAATATAAATTAATAGAATAGAA